AGTGGGGGTGCGGGTTATCAGCGAATAATCCGGAAGCAGAGGTCGGCTTCACAGCAATGCATGGCCTCCTGTGCAGTCTGCATCCCCATCGGCATCGACTGGTGCAAAGCTAATAAAAGCCAATAGGCCATAGACAGATCCCCTCTGTAGCGTGTTTATTCACTTTTTGTGTGCCTTGTTTGATTTTGTCAACAGCGCGGCAAAGCGATTTCACAGCGTTTTTCTGAGTCCGGTGTGGCTAGATTTCATTGTTGGTCAGCCTTGTCTGGCGGAGCACCATGAGTGGGCCTCAAAAGCAATATGTCACCGCGAAAGAAAAACTCAAGATTATAGCTGCTGCGGAAGAAATCTACAACGGTGCTGCTACGAGGAGGCACGACGTCGACGAATCCTGCATTCGCGATTAGCGGAAAAAAAAAGCCCCTCTCGAAAGTGCACACAAGGAGAAGCGAGCGTTTCGCGGCCCGAAGACTGGTGCGTACCTCCTTCACATGCAGCTTGTCAAATTTATTGAAAGGCGGAGGAGTCGCGGCCACGCTCTGTGAACAGAGATGGCACAAATGGAAGCGCTGAGATTGGCCCGCGAGATGAACATCTCACGCGAGTTTCATGCGAGCAGTGGATGGCTTCAGCAATTCATGGCCAGGCACGGATTTTCGATGCGGGGGCAAACGGCTATGTGCCAGCAGCTTCCCAATGCCTACGAGGATAAGCTGTTGAGCTATCATTGTTAAGTCATCAGGCTGCGGAAGGAGCACAACTACTTGCTCTCCCGGGTGAGGAATGCTGATCAAATGCCCATGCACTTCGAGATGCCCATGAACACCACTCTGCAGAAAAAGGGCTCGGAATTTGTAAGCGTACTGACGGGCAGAAACACCAAACTACGCTGAACAGTAATGTTGTGAGCTTTGGTGGACAGTACCAAAATACGCCCGTATGTAATCTTCAAGCGCAAAACGCTACCCAGCACTCCACTACCACCAGGAATTATTGTGCGATCCGAAGGTAATGCGTGGATGAATGGTGACCTCGTCTGTGGCTGGCTTCGCACGATCTAGGAGAAGAGGTCGGGCGCCATGTTGGCACGGTGGTCGATGCTGGTGTTGGATCCGTTTCGAGGCCACTGCTCTGATGCAGTGTAAGTGCACCTCGCTGACCACCGCGCAGACCTCGTGATCATACCCGGTGTCACGGCTTCCAAGCCACAGCCACTAGACGTGTGCCCAAATAAGCCGTTCAAGGCGCACGTGAAACGGCTGTATGCCGTGTGGGTGGCCGATGGCCGTTGCGCCCTGACACCGACTGGGCGCGTGCGGAAGCCATACATTGCGCTGCTGTGCCAGTGAATCGTGGATGCGTGGGGGGCGATTCCGGCCAACATGGCGCACAAGAGGTTAAATGTGCGGCATCCACAATTGCTTGGATGGCACCCAGGACGATTGCGTCTTTGAGAGCGCCAGCGAAACTGACAGCGAAGAGTCTGCGATGATTGAAAGAATGTGAATCGGCGCCGTCAACGTTGTGGCAATCGCTTCAAAAAGAGAGTTCTTTTGTAAACGAGATTATGATGTGCTGTGCAGTTGCGACTTCCCAAAACAGTTTTTTTTTAAAGCTAAGCATGCAGATTACTCCCAGGTTTTTTTTTTCTTCAGGAAATACAAAGTTAGGGGTACGGGTTATATGCGAGAAAATATGGTAAGTATATGTTGCCGCATCCTATATGCTGCTTTTAATTAAGCACTTTTTTCTCTGTTGAGGCCTGAAACAATGGAGTGTCAACTTAAATTTTGCTCAGAGAGATGAGCTACAGGAAAACTACCGTATAATGCGAAATACAGGTTGAGGTGGAATATAGGTTGACCCCCTTACCTGGACCAGCAAAAAAGGAAAAAAAAGAAAATCGCGAAATTGTTCACGGATTCACTTTATTCAGTCCTCCGAGCTGTCGGAGCTCTCCTCCAACGACGACTGCTTATCACTAGCCGCCTCCCATAGCATGTCGACCTCAATGCTGTCGAGAGCATTGCTAACGCAGCACTTCTTGAATGCGCGCACCACCATCTTTTCAGCAAGAGACCTCCATGCCTCGGAGACCCAACGAGAAACTGTCGCGAAAGGTGGCCTGCGCAGCCAGCCTGTCGGTCGGTGTCCGCGGGTTGTCGCCAGCCATCCATTCGGAATACAGCGCATGCACACCGTCTTTGAAAGGTTTATTAAGGACGACGTTCAGCAGTTGGAGTGTTGACGTCATCCCTCCCGGAATGACGACAAGATCCGCCTTTTCATCGCGAAGGCTCTCCTTCACTGATGCCGTCAAGTGCCTGCGAAACGCATCCAGCACGAGCATGTTCCGTTGCTGGAGGAGTGTTCCGGGCCGCCGGTTCCACACTGTCCGGATCCACTGGCACATTAAAACCTCGTCGATATACCCCTTCTCGTTGACGCTGACAATGACATACCATGGGAAGGCCTCCTTCGGCATCGTCTTTGGCTAGAAGATGAAGGGGGGCAACTTTCTGCTGTCGGCCATGCAGGAAAGCATAAAGGTGAAGCGCGAATGCTTGCTTCGGTTGACAAAATCTTCCCCTCTTTTGCCCCGCGCTCACAAACAGTCGTGGACCACAGCGGCATCAAACCACACCCCCGTTCCGTCGGCCTAGCCTAGCATGTAGCCATGCTGCCACCGGAGGCTGTTCACGTAGAGTTGAAACTACCAATTTATCCCCGTACATCTCCAGCAGATTCTGGCATATCGACGTGTGCTGTCGAAGGGCACATCCCTTGCATAGCATGAAGCGACAGACTCAATACATGGATCCCTTGACGTTTTCCTTTGACAGACCGGCTTCACGGGCGAGCTCGAGGGCTTTTGATCGAATGAGCTCCGCATTCACTGGCAGAGATCTAGCACGGTACTCGCATGATGAAATCAGCCACTTTACCCTGGAGTTCCAGGTGCACAGCTCAGGGACCACTAAACGATGTCTTCTTCGCGTTACACACCGACAGTGTGGATTTTTGGTTGCGCCAGTACCCGACGCTTTGCTCGAACACTCCAAACTGCCGCTGTGCCGCCATGTTGTCATTCGCTTCCGCGAATTCAATGACTTTTCTTTTAAACGCAGCGGTGAACTGGCACCGCGTACCGGTATTCATGGCATGTCGCAGAGTAACGTCGACACTCGCTACAAACACTAAATGAACAAGAAAAGAGAAATGGCGTCGGCAGAGAACACGTCTGCCTAAAGAAGCGATGTCGATGCTGATGCCCAAAAAGCATGCGACACTCCCTGTTGCCAGACAATCACTTGGTTTATGCCAAGGGCCAGTGTATAGGTCGAGGGGTGACTTTTTATTGACATTTTTTGGAAAAAATCTCGACCTATATTCTGCACTATACAGTAATTACACATTTGAAATCAGCAGAAAAATGCACAAGTCTGTACAGTTTCACCAAGAGTGCTGTAGAAATAAACAAGATGACGTCTAAGACTAGTGTGCCCCCTTAACATAAGTGCGCAAAAGAGACTTGCCGATAAAGAAGTGGCTTATCTTTCGCATGCTTTCACAAGATGAAGTTGCGTGGACTTCTTTTAATTGTTTTTTTTAATATTGTCACTTGTTAGCGATCATATGCTGTAGTAGACTTTCGTGCTGCACTATTTTTCACTGCTAACATGTCTTCTCTGAATAAGCACTCAGTTGAAAGACAGCACTTGTCGATGTCTCCTTTTTTTTTTGTGCATTTCTGTCAATTCCCACACTGCTGAAAATTTCTTGACAGAAGTGGCCATTTGGCCAACAAAGCAGCTGGGCAGTTTTACTAAACAGTTCTCCCTCAAGGAGATCATTCATTCATGCTTTTTCTCCAATTTCAAGAACAAAAATTTTTTTTTCAATACGTCGTAAAGGCATAGATTCTGCCCATTCGTGTATACAGAAAGTGACACTGCGCAGCGTTTGCACTCATCACACTACAGGGCGACCCTTTCTTTGAAACAGCCAAACCACAGAAATATGGTCTGCCTCAAAATACGCAATCATGCTCATGGTGAAGGAGGGTATTATGCTTATGAAAACTAAGCACCTTGACGGTGCAGTACTCTGGAAGCAGCTGGCACAGTGCACTGCTTTGCCAAAAAGAGTCCCTCCAAAAAACTTTGCAGGCAGCCAGCCTTGAAATCATGCGATAAGCTTTTTACATGTGTAAGGGTCTTACCATAAAGAATGCCTGTTGTCAGCCACTATTCCATGCTTTCCACACACAGAGGAGAAACTTTTCACAAGTTTGCAAACTTGCATGGCTTGCCTCGAAAAGCACACTGTTTGCTGCTAGTGTTCAAAGAGTTTTGAACACACCACCATCAATTTAAAGCCCCCCATGCAGCTATATAACAGTTGGCCCATCATGCCAAACCTACAACCTATCAGCCCTAAGGAGTAAAACAATTGTTTAGGTTTAACACCCAAAAACCACGACATGAAAAGTAAAACACTGGTATTGCTAGTGAGTTTGTTGAGAAGTGCAAGAAGCTAAGGATCAGCTTTAATCTTTCACATTACGAGATGGACCTACTGCCTACTAAGCTACTGAGGCAGAATGCTTCAATAAGCACTAACGAAAAGGTGCACTGACGCATAATTTCCCCCAATGTCTGCATATGAGTAAAGAAGGCCATAATACTTACCAAATTGTTTTTGCAATCTCAAAATTAACTGCAAATGTAGAATTTCACAAGGCTCCATAATGGACCAATGATCACTTTCAGTGGCACAAGGTATACACGTGCTGAAACGAAGTCTCGGAAGCTGGTATTATGAAAGTAAAAGCTTGTTACGGAGAAATAACTAACTTAATGAGAGGAGCAAAAATGCTCTATGGCCTTTTAACAAGCACCCCTCACATGCAAATGCATTGCAGCTGCAGCCCCTAGATGTATTCAGAGAAGAGGTTAGAAACACAGGTTCTGGCAAAACCAATATTCACTAGCACTTACGACTTGCTGGACAGAGAGGCATAGTAGTGCCGCCTTTGGGCTGGTGCCATCGGCTGAACGCTGATGAAGACTGGAGCCACAGCCGGCTTAGGAATTTTGTCTTCTAGGCTGGCCGAACCGCTGGCTTCTGCAGGTAAGCAAGTAAAAGCATGTAGTCAGCAGCCAAATTAGCAACAGGATACAGCTACCACCACTGCCAAGAGTTCTTCACATCCAAGCAACCTCAAAATGGTTAAATACGGTGGACTCCCATTAAATGAAACTCTGTTAAACGGAAAAACTGTATAAACGAAACTATCCAGGCATATTTGATTGGTCTCCTATATATTTATTGATAAAAAGTTTTGGGTATTAAGAACATTTTTTTTTTTGCTTATGTCGGTTAAATGGAACTAAAACAAGCAAAAGCCATCAACAGTGAAAGTGGCCATGGCAGTCTAGCAACCATGAAACAAATGCCAAAGTTAGCGTAGCCTAGCCAAGCCAATCCAGCGATTGCATATGCCTGCCCACGCCAAGAAGCAATTGACGTCTCGTCGTGAACTTAGACAGCCTTGAGGAACCTATAGCTGAAGTCCAAGGAGAAAATCTGTGCTCAAGTGGTGATGAGATGGTGTGTGATCCCGAGCTCATTTTAGTGGCCGACAGTGCAGCAAGAGATGCTGTCATCCTGTTGCAGCGCTACTTTGAACACGAAGGTGGCACAGAGTTCCTGACCAGCCTTTCAGTAATGCACTCCTACTATGCGAGAGAGTGCTTGAACAAGGCCATGCAAATTGTTATCACCCCCCTTTTTCGGAGTCAGCCATATTAGCAAAATTTCTTTTTAATCAACTATAGTAGTGTTGTATACTTCAAAATCTTTTTGTTCAGTCAGCAGCAGTTGGTTCTTTTCAAATAATTCATTTTGTTGGCTTTGCTTAAATGAAACTTCTCATAAATGGAACAAATTTTCTTGCCCCTTCGAGTTCTGTTTAAGAGGAGTCCACTAAAAAAAAATGCAACCACATTTTTGTGTGCAGCTGCGTTCGCCATGTTTGCACATTTCATAGAGCTGCACGTTAGTGCATGACAATCCTACACACTACATGAAGCCAAAAGTGACTCAAAACAAACTCATAGTACAAAAATATGCGAAAGACAAATAAACAAACGACTGTTCGCTATAAAACCTTTAATACTTGTACGTAGAAATGCCACCGAATCAGTTTTCGCAAGCTGTAGCCAAGTGCTTGCACACAGGCTGGTCTTAATTTTATTTTGACTTCTAAGTGACTCTGAGTAGAACCCCTCTTTTTCATTTATAACTGCTGCCTTTTTTTGGCTGCTCCATTGTTCCCCACTGATCCTGGCATAGCCCCTATAAACCAGGGGTCTCTAACACGTGGCCCATTGACCTTTCGCTTGCAGCCCACACATTTTTGAAAAGCATTCTCTTTCATGAGGTAAGCCGTGCGATCACGTTCTGTTGAAGCACAAACGAGAAACAAGAACTCTATCCTTCAGTATCAACTCCAGATTTCAGTCCTCATGCAGAATAGGTCACCACTGATAGGGCACACGAAACCTGCCGAGAATGCCTTTTAGAAGTAACCAGTATATGATATATGGGGAAGGCCTCCTTTCCTATTGCAATGTTAGATGAAACTTTGCTCCAAGTGTCAAAACGTTCGCCGGTCTTGTGGCAACTCTCTTTCGTAGTTTGTTTCGCCATGTGACTGTAACAAAGGCATGCGAAACTTTATTTTTATCATCATTGGGAGGCAGTCGAAGTCTATTTACATTTTTATTGCCGATGCTCTTATGGCGTATTCAGCTGGCTGCTCTGGTCCTCTGGCTAGGAGTTGCCAGATGCCGAGGTGGCTCGCAATCGGAGCTCACGGGGCAGCGTACCAACTGGATGCATTGGTGATCTCAGCAACGTGCCTGTAGCCCTATTGTTCAGTCAGTGTGGGAAACTGCCGGGTAAACATCTCTGCCCCGCATCTACAAGTGGCGCCGATCAGACCAGTGGTCATCTCCAATGTGTATGGATGCAGTGGCAGCCTTGTGAGCTCTGCACATAAATCTGGCAATTGTCGCCGACCGAGTTGCTGTAACGACAGTTTTGGAGTTCCACCGTAAATAGCCGGAGCCGCCTTTTTTACAGGGTGCATACATGGCTTCACAGATGTGAACTACCCAAACACACGTTCAGAAACGCTACTAACAGCGCACTGGCACGAAGTGTTATGCGGTCGGCGATGTCCCTTTCCGAAATGCAGGCTCGCATTCTTGACCTGGTTCACTTACCGGCAGCCACGTGATTTGTTGACTTGAGTCATGCAATTCGTCCTACAAGTCAGATCGCGCCATGCTCTCATTTTGTAGCCAGAGCGATTGGGAGCGCTCAGAGTTAGAGACTGATGCTCCAAAAGAAAGAGCTGAACGTAATCCGAGCGCTCGAATTTTACCGAACACGCGACCACCTTTCAGAGCGCTTGATAATGACATCACAGACACTCGCGAGGCACTCTCGTTCTCTTTGATATTAAAGAGTTCATTCTGCCCAGGGGCAGCCATATGCATAGCAGGTGCCGTGTATTTGCCAGCCCAACTTATCTCTCCAAAAGTAGACTGGAGAGACGCATTATTTATGCAGACTGTGATAAGGCACTGTGTGTAGACCCACATTTCAAAGAATACAACACTATACCTGTGAACCAGTAATGCCGACAAAAAAAAAAAAGTTACCATTTATTTTACAATTTCTCCGAACTCTATGCATTTCATACATCCAAAATCCATAGTGAAGTAATTTGATCAGCAGTGAAAGTTTTTCTCGGAACAATCACACAAAAGGTTGAAGAAACATGCAATGCAATAGTGGTGTAAATGTAAACTTTTCAGTTATCTGACTGGACGGATCACCGCTTTCAAATATATCCAATGTTTCCAGGCCAGTTTGGTTCTTTTCATCATAGGCACTTCGATTCTCACCACAGCTTCTCTCCACCGAGCCGTGAAGATTCACGCACATATATAGTGGACACCACTCCCAGCAAGAAGTTGATGCTCCTCAGGGTGCTAAGAGTGTGCGAAGACTCTGGTATAAGCCTCCTCTTCGGTTTTGCTTTGGCGTCTATCAATGAAGCACCAAAATTAAACAGCCCTTTCACACCTAAGCTTTACTGCACATGCGTAAACCCTCCTACTACCCCAATGTGAAATGGAAGTTCAGTAACTTGATTACAACAAAACTGGAAAAAATGCACTACTTACAAGAAGTGCGGAAGTATCGAAAGTACAAATAGAACAATCAAAACCTTTTCATTTTCTTGATCAATATTGTCGCGGGTTATAAATTACAGGGAGTTTATTTAAAAACACGGACAATGGAACTTGTAGAGACGCTCTCAGAGAAGGCCGCTAAGATTGTCGTCTTCTTCACTCACCTGTGCTGCGCCTCTCGAGCAAATCCGCGTTCTTCGTTGTTGTCGCTATCTCGTCATTAAATGCAGCTATGCACGCGGCATTACCCTCCCGCCAGAGTGAGCGTCGTCCTGATGCTCAACAGGTGGAGATGCGGCCAGCGGGTGTTTACATCATCACTGAGAGTGGTAAAGTTTCATGCGAACCACGTGCACTGACTCAGGCAGATGCTGGCGACGTTTCGAACAGGAGGAGGCATCGGGCACGACTTCGTACGTCACGTCGCTAAGACGGCACAATACCTTGTAGGGTCCGAAGTATCGGCGCAAGAGTTTCTCTGAGAGGCCTCGTCGTCGTACAGGAAACCAAACCCAGACTATCTTCTGGTTGAGAAATGACGAATCGATGGCGAAAGTTGTACCGTTGGGCGTCAAGTTGCTGCTGGTTCATTATTCTGACGTGGGCAAGCTGCCTTGCTTCCTTGGCGCGCTCAGTGAAGTCTGCGGTGTCCGTCTCTGAATCATTGCAATCGTAAGGCAGCATGGCGTCGAGCATTGTAGTAACTTCTCTGCCATGAATTAGTGCGGACGACATCATTTTTGTTGTTTCCTGACGCGCCGTATTATACGCGAATGTGATGTACCGCAATATTCGGTCCCAATTCTTGTGTTCCATGTCGACGTACATGCAAAGCATGTCAGCGATTGTCTTGTTAAGACGTTCTGTAAGCCCATTCGTTTGTGGGTGGTAAGCTGTCGTCTTCTTATGCGCTGTGCCACTGAGCGTAAGTAAGCACAGTGCTCCAGCTGTAAACACGGTACCTTTGTCTGTTATGACGAAAACACGGACAGTAGAACTTGTAGAGACGCTCTCAGAGAAGGCCGCTAAGATTGTAGTCTTCTTCACTCGCTTGAGCTGCGCCTCTCGAGCAAATCCGCGTTCTTAGTTGTTGTTGCTATATCGCCGCTAAATGCAGCTATGCACGCGGCAATATGTATATCCAGTATCTATTTTACATAGGAGCAGTGTAAAAGGTGCAAATGTGGTCTTAAGAAACTTTGTTCCCATTTACTGCGGCTCAAGTACTGTGACTCAACTATAAATGTGCTCATAACCCCTCCTTTATGTGTATTGCTACCATGAACGCACGCGACAATTTTTTTCGTCTGAATTACCGTATTTACTCGATTCTACCGCGCCCTCGATTGTAACGCGCACCCGAATTCCACGGCGAAAAAAAAAAAAAAACGTAAGACATCGATTGCAACGCGCACCCATTTTTCTCGCTGGCCCGCACGATCACACCACTCGAAAAAACGACTCCTTTCGGGAGCGTCTTCCATTTAAATATGAGGTACGGCGAAGCTCGTGCCGATCTGACGTCTAACAGAGCATTGCCGCCACTGTAGTTTTACCGTGGACCGATGTCAGCATGCGAACTTGCTTCGCCCCCTTCTCGACAGTTGTGGTGCCAGGCATGTCGAAGTAAAGAGGAGTCTGATCGGCATTCCCGATTTGCCCAAGCAGGTAGCTGTTGTTGTGCCGCAAGTTTAGGACAAACCTCTGAAAACTGTGAAGCTTTTCATCGTAATCCTCCGTAAAACTTTTCGCATATGCACATTCCCCTTCGGAGGGAAAAGCCTTTCCTCTTCATAAGGTTAGTTAGCCAGCACCTGCTTGCTTTAAACTGGCTCCGCATTAGACCTTTTTCTAAGGCTAATTGCATAACCCGCACTTGGAGCAGTTCTGCCGTCACGGGCCGCCGTGCCGCTCGCTGCTCAACGCACATACTCGCCGAGCAGCTCTTTAATTTGCGGAAACCAACCTTGCTGTGGTCCACTGAAGCCTTTGCGTGAAGCTTTGCTGTCGCAATCTTCTGCTTTTGTTTCCGCCAGTCCCGCACGCACGTTTCGGGAACTCCGAACGACCGCAATGCAGTCCTATTTACGTCCGTTTCGGCACACGCGATGGCTTTTCTTTTAAAAGAGATACCGTGGTGCACTCGTCGAGTTTTTGGAGTCGGCCCTTCCATGCCGTCGATGCTAATGCACACCAAGATGACGAACTCCTCAGCACACATACGAAGTGCCGCACATGGGAAACACATAGGCAGAAATGGCCGACGCGCCATGCCGACGCACTTAGGGGGCGGCCATTTCGGAATGCCGATGGCAATAGAACGACCGTATTCATTTTTTTTTTCGTACTCGATTCTAACGCGCATGCGATTTATGAACTCGCTTAACCGGAAAAAGGTGCACGTTAGATTTGAGTAATTACGGTATGACACGCAACTGATCCTTGGCCCACAACAATGTAGCAAGCGAGCTTGAATACCTCCATGAGGACCACAACTGAAAAGCCCTTTATTTTTAACAGCTTTCACCATGTTCCGCACACAATATTGTAAGCACATTGTCTAAAATTAAACCGAAGAGACTAAGTTTTGCACACTGTCTAGGCTGCTTTCGTTTGCAAACGTCATTATCACTGTTTCACGTTGCATGTTTTTAGAAAAGCGTGCTTTGCACACTCCAAAAATGGTACGAATTACCCGGGTGAGCCAAACATGACAAAATCGATGCTATTACACAATGCATACACTTGTTGAGACCACGGAATCCATCCAAATAATCAGATTTTCTACAATGAAAGGGGTCAAATTAACGAGCCTACTAGTGCTACTAGTAGAAGACAATTACATCCCCTCATCCACTTAGAAAGCCAGGAGTCTGCAGTGCACATGTTGACAAATGAGGAAGGCGCAAGGCACATACCTTCGTCCCAGTTCTCTTCAGTTATAAAATCTGGGGCAGCCGGCGGCATGGTCACATCACCTGTTGGCTTGTCCTTTTCCGTAGCTGCAAGGCACAATGTCACTAACAATGAGCCTACGCGAGAGTCCTTTGTCAAACTTCTCTCAGCATTTTTCTGAAAGATTCGATGACCTAGTCATTGCATCTAGCTTATTCCTGCCATTGCATTACTAAGTATTGTTTTCAAATACATTAACTAGGTGTATGCAAACAAAAAATTGAAGCTAACTTCTTATTATGCCTTGTTTTTCTTCAAGCCCTCTTTAAATTAGGTACTGCACTCAATTTGTCACACGAATTTATTTTGTCTGTCATACGGAGCACATCAATACTGAAGATAGACAGTCAACCAGCGACACAGTTAAGTTGGAAATTAAACACCCTGCACTTTTGTGCACTTGCAGACATCATATGTTGACAGAATCAGTTAAGATCACAGTGTGCTACAATGTAGACAAATACGAACACTGTTGTAGAGCATGCAGTGTTTCAGCTGCGCTCAATCCCAGAGCTTAAAGAGATTGCCATTTGCTATGGGATGTCATATGCCAAGAGACTGCTCGGTCGTTGCTTGGTCAAGAAAAATTGAAGGGACACTAAAGGCAACTAATTAAGTTGACTTTGATCTTTGAAATAGAAGTCCAGAAACCTTATAGTGTTACTTTTGTGTTAAGAAAATGCTTATTTTGAAATAAAATCACGTTTTAGTGGTTAACATCAGGTTGTCGCGCTGCAAATTACCGCCTCAAGCAGAACGTGTCTCGTCACTTTTGCCGTGCACAACGTTGTCCGGCTTTACTGCACGGCTGCCGACACTAGTAGCAGCAGATCGAAAATAGCGGTAGCCACAGCAATAACAACAGCCATTGAACAATATCCTGCCATGGCCTGTGATATGGCAGACGTGCTTGGTTCAACTGGGCCCCACTAGATGGCACGACTTGTTCTGCTTAATGAGGTGAAAATGAACTTTTGAACCACTTGCGCTATTCCACATAGTAACGTCTGGCGGTTCTTTTTCTATGAATCAAACAAAAACGAACAAGCAGCTTTTTGTTACATCTCTTGATGCACGTAAGATTATTTAGTGCGACTAGTTCAATTACTAGTGATTAATTATAGGCGATACCTCTGACGTAATAGGGATCATTTTGCGAATGTTCTATCGTACCGCATGTGTTCTCGTGCGTTTACCTTAATTTGTCGGTAAGTAGGGCACTACTGTTGATAACGTCGTTTTAGAACTTGCCATACATTGAGAGTTCACTCCGACAAATTGTGATTTGACTTTCGTCTCTCTTCAATGCACTATGTTAACCAAAGCTGCTATGCAAGCAGTGTTCTCGTGCATTTACTTTAATTTCACGATATATAGAGCACTACTGTTGATAATGTCGATTTATACATTGTCATACATTGAGCTTTCACTTCAACATAAACTGTGATTTGACTTTCGCCTCTCTCTGATGCACTGCATTAACCAAAGCTGCTGTGCAAGCGGTGTTCTCGTGCATTTACCTTAATTTCACTATATATAGGGCACCATATATAGAGATTCACGTCCACGGATAGAAGTTCGTCGCACACGCAGTCCACTCAAGGCGAGACTACCATCTCAGCGCCATATGAAATTCCTGTGGCGAAACAGTTCCGGGGGATCTGTTGAACCACTTGCACGAGTCTGCAAGCATGCAGACTGCAGAACATAGGTCTGCAGTGTAGTTTTTCCCCCTGTCTGAGCACAACGCCATGCGGTATAAGCAACGGCTGGCAACAAATTGGCTTGCATTAGATTAAGGTACAGCAGCCGCAGTAAGGCTGTTTTGAGGGTCCGAAAACTACCAAAAAGACAGCATCGTTAGTGACCGAGTCTGATGTTAGTGATAAAACGTCCGGAAAATTGGATGCAAAACCTATAAACGTCCACAATTTCGAACTTTTTAATACATTTACTCTATGGGAAACTTGACGGTGCAACAAACAGATGAGTCTGGGAAATTAACAGATGAGCCTGGGAAATTAAGCATGTCAAAATGCCGACTGTAACTTACAATGCACTCGGAGAAGCTTTCGTTACAGTACTTTGTTCAATTATTCTACGCATTATGTTTACTATAAAAAGTAACTACTATGACTGCATGGTTTAAATACGAGCTTTGCATTTCAGTTGCAAGATCTGTGTTGCCGTTTATGAAAACAATTAAGCCTCAAGTTCATTAGTGATCAAGTACAGGGTTTAGTAAATTACAGGTCTTATGTGTCTGAAACCTACTCTGTGCTCTCAAAAATTTCCTGAAGACAAGGACTTCGTACTCAGTTTGTTCAAACTCTAACTCTTGCACAACAACAGTAAAAAGAACAGTTCTTAGTAAATGGAAAAAACATTTTTCCACAGCTAGATTCCAATGCCTTATATACAATGTTTGGTACCACAATGTAGCCGGAAGAATGTTCTATTAAATGACAAAAAAAAAAAACAGCTCTCGTCTTGTGCACATATATATATATATATATATATATATATATATATATATATATATATATATATATATATTGGAGTGGAGACACAGTGGGGCTCGGGCACGGGCTCGGCTAGCATGTAGAAGAAAAAAAAAAAGATCAGAATGAGAATAGCCGGCCTGGAATACAGGCGTTCTCTCACTTATCACCATCACAATGGCCCCGTCGATGAAAACGAAGTACTACATCTTCGATTCTTCGTCATTTTTTTTAAAGATTGCAGTTCGACCATCTCCCAGTGGCCTTTTCTGGTAGAGCGAAGTCGAGTGCACTCACTTTTGAATCAGTATTTCTGTGAAAGCTTTACAGGAAGGCCTTCTGTAACAACGTTAAATGGGACATCCAATGCATTTTCGACTATACTGAGATAACGCTGTTTTCAAATATTATTTACAGTTCTGCAAAAGCTAGAGTGTTTCATTTTGCCCAGGCACTCGTCAATATTTTAATTAAGCACTAAACAACTAGTCAATATGAAAACCGATACAGGGAGCTGTTCTGTCATCCATGGTGGGTATCGGACGACATCACGAGAATCCATCGCCGATGATAGCACGAGGTCCGCTGCTTCCCGCCATGGCTGGCCAGGGCGTAAGCATAGCTCACATACCTTTTCTGACGCGCAAAAAGCAAGTTGGCGATGTTATCCGACGCGGAACCAAGCTGTACCAGCTTGTCTGAACTTAGCAGTGACAAGTTCAGCAATGATGGCAGCTACTATCCGAGCACGGAAGCATTGTTTTTGATTTCAACCCGTCAGCGTGTGAAGCTTCTGACATGCCCCAAGTCTATTTCCTCGTAGCTCAATATTGTAAGACCTGGTGCCAACAATGACTTACGCACTGCATGCAGCTGATAAAACAACTGTGCTCGCGTCGTCATCGCTTGTCGTCTCCTCGTAGAAGAGAGCACGCGCTGCATTGGTCTGTTGGGAAAGGCGAGGTTTTTGAATATGAGTAGGCCTTTACACAGGGTGGCCCGCGTTTACAAATGTGATTCCAAAATCAGCTACCAATTTTAAAATTTGTTCTCTAGAAAACTAAACGGCTTACAGTTGTATAATTTGGCACATATCGCCACAGTACTGGCAAGAACACTAGCTCAAAGCTTTAATGAAATCGGTGAATATCAAAATAAAAAAAAAAAAGGCAAAGTTTCCCTTCAACATTAGTTTTGGCCACTCGCTTTCAGCAAAGTAGTATTGTAGGATGAAATCATCGAGTCTAGAAAACACGTACCAGTGATGAGAGCACGTCAAGTCAAGTCAAGTGCAACATCAAGCGGGTGAGCGACACTCCCCCACTGGATGTTGCAGCTTGACGTCGACTCACCCTTGTCATTAGCACTAAAATATGATGTGTCAACCTCATCGCCAAACTCATTGGTGACGATTTAACTTGCAAAATCTGCTGTCAATGAGTGATCAGCAAGAAATGAGTCCTTTAGAAGTGTGTGCAATACACCATCATCAACGTGCTTGAGCAGCAATCCAAAACTATTTGCGATGTGGGAAGACTTCCTTATAGTAAAAAACCAACAAAGCGTCATGGATCACACTGTGTCCTTCACACTTTCTTACCTAGATGTAGTTATGCGCCTGCAAACCGCGCAAGTTCAACTTGAGAAATGCCTTGTTCAAATTGAACAATTTAACTAAGCACGGTGGCGAAAGAGGTAACGAGAACATTAGCCACAGCCGAGATGCAAGATTTAGAAATTGCTAAACCACGCTTTCTCAGTGGAATCCCACAGGGCACTTTGGTAGCTGGAACCATTGATAAATAAATCCTGGTCATCGTATCATGTAAAAAGTCCCGCATGATCGCTTCTCCAAGCCAGACAGCAAAAATTGCGAAATAATGTTTTGTAAAATACAACCCAACGAAAACAGAATCGTCTTACTTCTGGGCAATTATTGAGGAAATCAAGTAGCAGGCTGCTGTCCGACAAAAACTTAATTGCCCCAGGTATAACTTGCCCCGAAATCCACAACAGCAACTTTTTTTTTATTTCGTTTGCCAAAGTAATATCGGCTGACTGGCAAATGCAAAGTGCTAGCAGGTGAATATGTTGAAATACATATTGCTGGCTAAATTTATCCTAGACATGCAGTAAATGTACATAGGTTACATAAACCTTGCATAAGAAAACCTCAATGCTTAAAATCAGACATTCATACTTATTGAGTGCTTCTAATATGAAGATCTCATGCAAGCTGCTAACTAAAGTTGTGTGTGCCCGGTGGCACACAAAAACGAGCAAAGCGAATATTGCTGCGTTCTGTCTTTAAGTTTTATCACCCCGTTACACTGTACGTAATTCTCAGCACAAACCGGACCAGCACTGTTCAAGAAGCCTCGGGAACAGTAGTAGATAATTTCATTAAGATTAAGCCCACTCCACGAGCATTACAGATTAGTTTAAAACCTATGGGGCCACTAGCGATAAAACTAAAATATACGACGGCACGTGTATAAATGCCGACGCGCACCACCGCTTGTCAGATTGACGGCCGACGCACTGCT